CTATAAAGAGAATAGTTTGTTCTGTAAGATTGTCCTGAAAGAGAACAGTTTGTTCTGTAAGATCGTCCTGAAAGAGAATGGTTTGTTCCGTAAGATCGTCTATAAAGAGAATGGTTTGTTCTGTAAGATCGTCCTTAAAGCTAATCAACACCACCCACAGCCGACTCGTAGGCTACTCTAATCGAATAGACGATATCATACATCAAACCATTTCTGTAAAGTCAATCTTACAGAACAAACCATTCTCTGTAAAGATAAACCTACAGGACAATCCAATCTATTTAAAGATAATGTTATATTCTGTAGGGTCGTCTTTAAAAATAATGGTTTAATTCGTAAGATTGTCTTAAAAAGAGAATTGTTGTTAATTTCGTAGAAATGTTTGAGTGAAATATAACAAAGAACAGTTAATTATCGTTTGTATTTGTATAAAATCCTCAAGTAGTAGTTTAACGGATTACAGAATTCCCAATGAGAAAATAATAGCGTCCGCTATTGTGAGAAGGTACTTTAGTAAACCTAACCTCACATCAAGCAAATTGTCATTTTGAAGTTATGTATTTTATTACCATCAGACAAGTTTTAGTACTTTGTACGCCATAAGTTATCATACAACTTATTCGTTTTCACTGATCTTAGGTCAGCAATATTTAAATCTGTTTTGGAAATATCGAACAGCGTGATATGTTATTAAAAACATGATAATCTGTCATTTTTTATCCTTTGCTCACACTAATCTTGCGTGTCAAAATTTTAAAGGTTTCGTATAAAAATATTATATGACGGCTTTATAGATATCATTAATAATGTGGCAGCATTTAAGGAACACCTCTGTCTTAGTGATTTTAAACAACCCGGTCTTACTAGAGCTAAATAACTCAGTTTTCCTGAGTTTTAGTATCTCAGTCTACTGGATTTGAGCTGGTCGATCTAACTGGATTTCAACTATTCGGTTTTACTGCATTTAAACTGACATAATGACGTTACATTTAATTTGATTCCTTTTAAATTTTCAAATCTATATTTTCATGTTTTAACTCAGAAAGCATGAATAAAATATATGTTTAACGTTCCCGGGACCTTTCTTTTCATGTATCCAGGCTGTGTTTTTGTTGTTTTTTTATGCGTATAATCCATTGCTCACTGACAGACATGAAAGATTAGATAATAGTCACCGTTCTATTTAAATATAAGAATCGTTCTATGACTGCACACACTTTCCGACATCATGTACATAACCCACAACTTATCAAACATTGACTAGCACAACTGTGTTCTTGTTACGACCTTAATCATTTTCAAAAACCAATATTAAATACAAAAGCACAAATTTTGCTTTGATTAAGTGACCTTGATATCACGCAGGACTAGAAGAACAGAAAATGGTGCATGATACGAGATTTAATCCAAATTTGATAAACTACAGGAAAACACAAGAATACATAGATAACATTGTCACGTAATTTCAGTTTAATAATTGTTACATATATGTACGGTAGTGGCAATGCAGTAGTGCATTTTCAACAAAATATTTTGTACAATAGCATACAATAAATGTGTTCATTCTTTAAGTCCGGCTACATATTAAATATTCAAAATCCTAAACTCAAAAACAAAGTTGTGGTATCACACTTTCTCGGGTGTGAAATACTGATACAGAAACTAGACCCAGAATAAGTGATTTTACACCCATGATAGAATCATGAAATTCTAAATAACAATATTTTTAAGAAGTCAGACTCCATACAAGTAAGTTTAATTGTAAATATATATACATTTTGAAGATTTACTGTTCTCTAAAACGAATATGTGCATAACATTTTATAGCTATAAAATTTTTTATCTTGGTGAAAGTAATATTCTTAACAATTGTTTATTTTCAAATACTTCTTAAGCGATTTTGTATTTTATTTATAAATCCACATCTTTACATAAACAACTGAAGTGTGAACTATTATTTGATCTACGTTTACATCTTTAATATGTTGGAATCACACCCCAAAAACAACAATTTTTCTTAGGATGTACTTTATAGGAGAAACTAAAAACATGTTTCTTCTTCATTATGTGAATCACTGTTTTGTCACAGAAGTCGTTGTAATCTTTGAATATAACTAAAAGCTACCTACAGCTAGAAGAAGTTACAAAGCAAGTGCATCTTTAAAAAAAAATACGCATAAAAATTAAAACCGAAAAATTAATAAAAATACGGAATAAGTAACTTGTTCGTAGTAACTGAAATCCTGCTATTTCTCCTTATTTCGCTTCTAAGGCTGATTGACAATCATATATGAAATCCGAATAACGATGTGGCGACTCAACTCTTGCTAACCTCTTATTTCAATCTTCAGTTCTGTGTTACACTTCACCCTTCACATCACATGATTTTACTCTAGTTTCTCGTAAACTACGCTTTACATTATCTTCCCACGGCTCCACTTCATTATAGTTTTCAGTGAAAAATAAGTTATAATTATTCTATTAGAATAAAATTCCATAGCACAACCAACTTACGTGTTCCTTAACTGGCAACATGGATAAAAAAGTATTTCACGGGTGACGACAGGCTTTCTCCAGTATCGGCGAATTTTACAGTCGGAGGAATAACAGTGCAATTTAAGGTTGCGGGTAGGAGTAGCAACTCGAGTTTAAAAACTCTTGGCTGATACAGTATACCCGAGCGACCGGTCCTAGAACTAAATGAATCAAGATTGGTGGAAAAACTGCACATTTTCCTTCTATAAATAGGAGAAATTCTTGATGGATTTTTAATATTTCCATTTATGTAATTTGTTTAGAGGTTGTAAGGCCTAAGTCACCAGACTCATGGGTAATACTTGTTGAAAAATCAAGCTTATTTATGTTTTTTTATTATTTTGAAATATTACTATTAATTTATCCCTTACGAATTTCATGCCAATGGTGTATACAAAAGTAGACGACATATTGGAGTTTGTCTGCCAAAAGTCACTACTCATGGAGTTTTCGTTAGCTGGGATGGACAATGACAGTCAAAAGTTTATCTTAAATGCTGTTTGTATACTCAGTATAAAAACTTAAATCTTACGATCTTGGTTTCCAGTATTTCTTCAGGTTTCGACATGGAGAGCCACAACATTAATGATTATTATACTATGTAAAATAACACTTAGAAACAAATATACAGTTCAAAACAATGGTTGAGGTGCTGTTCAGCCTGGTGGGCTTTTCGTAGAAGTGTATAATATTTGGGAAGTTAACATATAGTTCAACAGTGTTGTGGAGAGGGTGCTTAGTTTGTTAGTTTAGAGAACCTGTGTGCTTTTGATTTAGGCCTATAATGAATCAATATGTTCTCACCCTAACAGGACAGCCATTATTAACAAATTCAACCTCTCCCACTTATAAGATATCTAGATGTCAAACCATATCGTTATTATTGTTTCTTATTGTTTAAAAAAATGAAAAATTACTTAAGTATTACGTTACATAACTGTCTATTCCTATTGTTTAAATTTTTCTTAAGTCACATTTTTAGAATTGCTGATAATGCTGATTCGGCGTTTTCCATTTAATTGTTGCCAATCAGATTCGAACAACACTTAAAACAGACAATTTCAGTATTTTTCGTGGAGAATAATGTTTCAATTGTCATTCACTTATAATGTATAGTTAAACAATCTGTCCACGTTTAGGATCATATATATATATATACATATATATATATATATAATCCACAAGTCTTTCTCATGTGAAATATATATATCTATATAAATAGCTATATCAATCAATATCTTAGTCATCTGGTTAGAACTTCTTATCGCATACTTACTGATGTTTTTCCGTCCAACATTAAAAGAAAATAAGATTAATTTTGCACCATTAGCTAAAGAATGTCCTAAAAGAAAATCTACTTCGAAAAACAATAAATAAATAACCTTAGCGTTGATACTAGTTACCGTTGAATTGCTTTGATTTTTCCAAGTAGATTTTCCTAATGTTTCTTTTCATTTCTTTTTTTTTCTACTACAGATTTTAATGCAAGTGGAAAAATAACGTTACAATAGCTGAATATATTTAGTACATATATGTGTATTTCTTAACTTGGTCCGTGCGCGAATCAGCGGGTTAGCGTGCCCGTCTATGGGGTCGTAGGCTCGGTGTCTCGCGCTCGGTTACCACCGAAAAAAAAAATCGTTTTCTGCACATTGGAGCTCTGAGCAACTCAAATCTCAATATTCGATTAGGGCAGCCCAAGAACTGGCGATGGCTTGTGTTTACTAGCTTCTTTCTCTCTAGTTACCGCTCCAAAATTAGGAACGGCTAGCAGAATTCTTCATTTAATATACGTTTTATACTTGAATTCATTACTGTATATTCTAAAATTAATAATAAAAGCAACATAAAGAATCAGAAGCCAGATTTGAGTTCTTGTTAGTTTATATAAGAAAAGCAGAAAAAGTAAATATTTTGGCAGATCCAACAGTTACATACACATACAGGGAGAGAAGAAAAATATATACATTTCATAACCTTAATTGTGAAGCGGTTCGGCACTCTCATACGTAATCACTAGATGGCAGCAGCTGTTTGAAGTCATGCGTGCTCTATCAGCAGAAGGAGGTGCTGTAGTAAACCAATTAGAAACGTCAGTCAGTATATGCCCGTCAAGTGGCGGGTTTGTATTTTCTTCACACCACTACAGAGATGAACTTTCGAGCTGTGGGATCTTTTTTTTTAGAATCCCTCACAACTCTGAAAATTCTTAACTTGTGATTGCAGTAATAGAAGTAACCTAGTGTAAACAATTCGTACAAGGCTTATTTAAAATACAAAACTAAAGTGTTTAGTTTATCCCACTCTTGACGTAATTTACTATTGCATTTCAACAGGGTGTATCAATATTCCATTATAAACACTAGAATATTCCTTGCTTCCGGTGAATGTGGACTGTTTTTTTCTATGGCGCCAATGATGTCGGTGCTTTCCAGACCAAAGCTTGGCTTCTCTATTGAGTCTTTAGTAGGTAAAAACGTCCAAGATTCACCACAAAATATCAGAGACGAAGACGCTTACACTTCGATGGATTTAGTAGGAACGTCATTCTATGATAGACCAGTATATTCTGCCGCAAAGTCCTTAGAAACCACGAACTCTTCAAGGACCTCCCCAGTTCGGGCTTACCCCATTCGGCCTGTGTGTTCTGTGGCCCGGGGCCCCGCAGTATCAGCTGAGGTTCCTGCTCTGTCGATTGGTGTCCATGTTAACCACGGCAGCGGTGTGCGGCCGATGGACTGTTTCAACGAAGATTCTTTTAACCCTTACCTTTATCATAGTGTTCCGTCATTGCAAACAGTATCCCCTTTCCAGATCCTAGGCCGAGATCCCTACCCTATTTATCCCTGGCTGTTAGCAAACCGACATCCAAGGTTCTTGCCCCACAGGATTCCAGGTAGGATCTTGACAATAGATCGTAAGTTTATGTTTTATTAAACAAGTCAAATCTGGCTTACTTTAAGCGCAGGTAGAAAAATGAAAATTGTGGAAATTTTGGTTATTAAATTAAAAATAAATAATTCATAATTCCAGAGAAATTTAAACAAAAATAACAGGTGTTTTGAAAGATAAAAATTTTCGCTTTTCTGTAAACACCTTTACGAACTACACCCCCTAGTGCGATTTAAAAGGAAGTTAAAAACATTATCGTTGAATCTGATTACTATGGCTTTACTGAAAATTCACTTTTTTATGAAAATTATTAGATAAACTTGAATAATTTTGAAATCATGATTTCATTGTTATAAATATTTGAAATATGGATTAGACTTATATTCATTTGAAGATATTCTGTTCATTAAATCTGGAATTGTAGGCCGAATACCATTTTTAAGATGATTATAACAAGTTCAAATTACTTAGGTTCATTTTATACTAAAATTGTAAATTATGAAAGAAAAACTTCTAAAGATGTTCGTTTGTCCTAAAAGGATTCGATGTTCAGCCTTCCCACGGTATAAGGAGAGGAAACCTGTCACTTGTGTTTAAATGATTCCATGATAGAAAAAAAAAATCTGGGTGTTATACAAATTGAAATACATGTGTGGACTTTCAAAAGAAAACTGCTGTAGTCTAACATTTGTTTTTTATCGAAAATTGTTGAGATTTTGAAAATGTCTTTGTTTGTAAGACTAAAACTCTTATTTCTAAACGGAAGAATTTCCATATCATGCATCATTGCTAAAAGTTTACGTAATGATATTACGGTAAGAACATACTTTGTGTTTACACTATAGTAGTATTTTTAAATGATATTACAGTAAGAACATACTTTGTGTTTACACTATAGTAGTATTTCTAAATGATATTACGGTAAGAACATACTTTGTGTTTACACTATAGTAGTATTTTTAAGTGATATTACGGTAAGAACATACTTTGTGTTTACACTATAGTAGTATTTTTAAATGATATTACGGTAAAAACATACTTTGTGTTTACACTATAGTAGTATTTTTAAATGATATTACGGTAAGAACATACTTTGTGTTTACACTATAGTAGTATTTTTAAGTGATATTACGGTAAAAACATACTTTGTGTTTACACTATAGTAGTATTTGTAAGTGATATTACGGTAAAAACATACTTTGTGTTTACACTATAGTAGTATTTGTAAGTGATATTACGGTAAAAACATACTTTGTGTTTACACTATAGTAGTATTTGTAAGTGATATTACGGTAAAAACATACTTTGTGTTTACACCATAGTAGTATTTTTAAATGATATTACCGTAAGAAAATTCTTAAGTATTTTGAAGGGTATTACAACGTCTTGTGAAGCTAACAAATTATTTGAAGAGACAAATTTGAGACTAGATAAAATTAGAGCCCATGAATCTCGTTATTGGTCCATAGTTTAGTTGAATTAAAGAACTACCTGTCAGGCAAAGTCATGGGCCCGAATTCCGTTAGGTCATTATTTTCACTTTTTTCAGAAGGATTGAAAACTTACTCCGAAACAGTCACTGGTGACCTTTTAATATCTAGGAATTATGTTTTAAAATGGTCCCTGTAATAAAATGTTTAAATAGTGAGGAACTCATAATTAAAAGTATATTTATGTAAAAAATATTTTTAGTTCTGAGTTTCTACTAATACGTAACAATACCTTATATTCTCAGGAATAGCTTTCTGTGAACACATGCAATAAAAACAACTATGCCTATTAACTTATACTGTTAATATATATATATATATATAATCAAAACTGTCTTAAAATCGTATACGAGTATGCTAAAATTCTTGTATTGAAGAACTGTCTGTTGTCCCGTTTTTTTTACAGATAACAAAAAAAGTAGCTGTTTCTGAAAATATCAAACTTGTCAGTTAATGCTCAATTCAAATTCTTTAATGTTTAATATCAAGAAAGTAAAATAGAATTTTATCTTATTATCTGATTTACTAGCTTTGTGCTTCAAAACATTTTGATCTGGAGTCAGTAAAAAAAAAAGACTTAAACCCATCACGTTCTCTGGAAAGGCCAGGTACTCAAACTCTGCTTTCGAAGCTGTGTACGGTCAATAGAGAGAGTGTCAAATATATAAACCTCGAGTTCGGTTCCTCTTGATTAGCCTGGTATTCAAACTGTGCTATCGAGACTGTGTACGGTCAGAAGAGAGAGAGGGAAATACGGAAACCTTTATCTCGGTTTCTCTTGATTAGCAAAGTACTCAAACTCTGCTGTAGAGGTTGTGTACGTCAGTAGAGAGAGAGAGAGAGTGAAACATATAAACCTCGGATTCGGTTTTTCTTGAGTAGACAAGAACTCAAACTCTGCTGTCGAAACTGTGTACGATCAGTAAAGAAAGCGAGAAACATAAACCTCGGGCTCAGTTTCTTTAGAAAAACAAGGTACTAAAATTCTAGGGTGTGACGGTCAGTGGAGAATGAGAAACATATATATATGTACCCCGGGTTCAGTTTCTCTTGAATAGTCAGGCATTCAAAGAAACTCTGCTGTCCAGGTTATCTATGATCATTAAAAATGAGAGACAGACAAACTCGATTGTTGATGTACACGTTCAGCAAATATAGATTTTACCCAAATTTCACTTAATTAGTCATATACCCTTCATAATGGCCCAATGGGAGTGAAATAATCGGTAAAGGGCAATTTAAATCCAGGCTTTTATGCTACAGCTGCCATTTTCAACTTATGGCACAGAAATATTTAATATTCAAGCATTTGTGTGGATAACCTTTTCAATGCTACTTTATATTATAATATTTTTTTCTTTACCTACTGAATATTAGGTGTGAAACCCTAAAGAATATAATTTTGCACATTACTTGCTCTTTAAACATGTGCTATGATATTCAGGCTGTGAAACTTAACCTAGAGTACATGTTGCCGAGGGAGATGCTCGCTGTATCTAGAGAGCCTAAACCTAACTATTTGTTGAAGATGTAGATTTTTTTTTTCAAAATTTCAGTGATTGTTGCCGTCAACAGGCAGTAAACAGAACTTAACCCTACCTCTCTGTTAAAGATGTAGGTGTTTTCAAATACTGTTCTATCCTTAAAGAGAACTTAAACCCACTTCTCGTTGAATATATATCTGTGTTTTAAAACCTTTATTAAATCTGGGGATAAAATAATAAAAACGATCATTGCATAAGATTCTCTCTTTATAATTATGTGTTCGTTTTTTTCTAACATACAAAATATTTGTACGTATGTTTGTTAAGTGTCGTTTAAATAGAGAGCACTGCTGGTCGAATAAACTGTTCGCGATTATGCAAATGGGTTGAAAGAGAGAGGTTCAAACACACGTTTCTGTTGAAAAGTGGATGGGTTTTAGTAAATAGCGTTATTAAAAGTTAATAGGCGACTACAGAAAAAGCAACCAGAACTTCTAAAATTCATACGTGTCTTTAAAAACCAACAATAAATACTTTTATAGGAATTATTAGCACTGATGAGCGGTTAAAAGAAACTAATAGTACTATTAGAACAGATGTGCAGAAACTAATAGTATCATTAGAACAGATGTGCAGAAACTAATAGTACTATTAGAACAGATGTGCAGAAACTGATAGTACCATTAGAACAGTTGAGCAGAAACTAATAGTACTATTAGAACAGATGTGCAAAAACTGATAGTACCATTAGAACAGTTGAGCAGAAACTAATAGTACTATTAGAACAGATGTGCAGAAACTGATAGTACCATTAGAACAGTTGAGCAGTTATTATAAAGCAATATAACGACTGAAACTGGTGTATGGTTGTTCTAAACCGAAAGTAGCATTAAGTTTCATTTCCATTATGGTTGTTATAAAGATAGAAGGAACTAACAGTGTTACTAAGATTATTATGAGTCCATAACTCTATTATGGTTGTTATAACGACAGAAGGAACTAACAGTGCTACTAAGATTATTATGAAACCATAGCTCCATTATGGTTGTTATAAGGACAGAAGGAACTAACAGTGCTACTAATATTATTATGAATCCATAGCTCTATTATGGTTGTTATAAAAACAGAAGGAACTAACAGTGCTACTGATATTATTATGAATCCATAGCTCTATTATGGTTGTTATAAGGACAGAAGGAACTAACAGTGCTACTAATATTATTATGAGTCCATAGCTCTATTATGGTTGTTATAAAAACAGAAGGAACTAACAGTGCTACAAAGATTATTATGAGTCCATAGCTCTATTATGGTTGTTATAAAAACAGAAGGAACTAACAGTGCTACTGATATTATTATGAGTCCATAGCTCTATTATGGTTGTTATAAAAACAGAAGGAACTAACAGCGCTACTAAGTTTGATGGTCTGGTTAAAGAAACCAATGACATTGCAATGACTAGTGGATAGACAGTAGGAGTCATCTTCGCTGTATCTTGGATATTAAGTGAAAATCAATATATTAGACGAAACACCGTTATACTAAGACTGAATGGAAACTAATTAAAATTATAAGTGCTATTAGGACTAAAATATAGTTAATGGGAACTAACACTGCTGCTGGGAATTGTGTGTAATTAGCTTGTTTAAAACTTCTGCTAAACAAACGGTATCTGTGCATAGTCTTCGTTAAATTTGAACTGATAGACTAGCTGGAAGGCAGCTAATCAACAGCGCCCATCGCTTTTGGTTTACTCCTGTTAGAGCGAATTGTAGGATTTGACCCTTACTCTTATAACTTAACTACGGTCTCAAAATGCGAACACATTTTTGCAATAACGAGATACGCACCCGTTTCGGACACACTGATCAAAGGATTAGGCCCGTCCAAACACATTCAGTTAGATGAAAACTGATGCACAGATAAGGGTAATGACTTGTTCTGCTAGAACTGAAGGTGGAAAGAAACAGCACTACCAAAACTGAGAGACAGCTAGTAGGAACAAACGGTCCTATTAAATCTGTTGGGTG